GGGGGGGGGCGTTAATACATGTTTAATGTTCCCTCCTCAGTATTAGCAGATGAGCTGGGGGAGCTCTTGATAGGAAACTGCATGGAGTTGGGAGCCTGTAGCTGTAACAAGGGGAAGTATTTAATGTCACGGCATCTCCTGGGATTGGAAATGCGATGTCTGGTGTCAGTTTAACGGTCTTAGGGCTGCAAAGGGGCGTCTTCCTCTTTGGAGGGGGCTGCTTTCAAAGCCTTAACCTTTTCGGTGTAGCAAGTGTTGATGATGTGATTCAAATGATAAATAAAGACATTATAGGTGAAGTGTCTTATAGCTGGCTTGTTCTGGGGAGAAGTTTGGCTGGTTAAATATGCTGAAGCCTACATGTCTGATGTAATTTATGTGCTGGACCTTAAGGATTTTTAATATAGAAGCTGTTGCTATGTTGCAATACAAAACCTTCCCAAACACTCAAAAATAGTTTTGCGGCTTGAAGCTTCAAAAAAAAAAAAAAAATTCGGAGGCTCTGTTAGACAAATATATGAGAGCAGAGCTTGCCCTGATGTTGTTGATCTTGCATGCCTCTAGAGTCTTTAAAGCTGCCAACATCTTGCCACTAGTATGTTAGTTTGGTGGTTTCTTCAGTGCTTGAAAATAGAAGGAGTTGGACTAGTTCTAGCCTAGATCAGGCAATCAGAATGATGGCGGTAGGAATAACTGCCTGGTTCTGCATCTGTTCCATGGTTCACTGGAAGCATGCATCCGCAGCTGTACCTGACTAGTAGGTGCTTCCTCCGCTGAGCTGTTTGTAGCAACTATAACAGCAGGGATATGGATGTGCAAGGATGAAGACTAGCTAGCAGGGAGGCAATGTTTTTATGGTCTGATTTAAGGATGAGAGTATACTGAGTGAAGCCCCCATAGGTTAAACGTTTGACAGCTTCCCTTGGCAATCTAGGCTTCTTGAATCAAAGGAGTAGGAGCCTTTCTAATACAGTATCATGGAAAACAGAACAAGGGTAGAAAGAAAGAAGGAAAATTGCTTGGAATAAAAGTAGTAAATATGCCAAGATATCATCCGGGGCGTTAATCTGGGTTGAAGGACTACTTAGAGACAGTTGTTACAGAGAAGTTCTAGAAAAGACTTTAGCAAACATTCAGGAGATTCCTGAAAAGAATGGCTAATTGTACAAATGTGCTCTGTTGATGTTGCATGCCTTGTTCCGAGAAAGGTTTGTCAAATGCCATTACTAATGGAAAGTTTCTTTGTTGATAAGTAGGCTAAGCCATTACTTTCTGCAGTGTTTATGTTCTTATTTGAGGTACTAAATTGTAATCCATTGGCTGTGGAAATAATCTTCCAGTTGTGAAACTACTGCAAACCAATCTAGTATTGACTTCCCAAAACTGCAGAAGTTGGTGTGACTGGATTTCTACTCACACCTAAGTTTCATCAGCCCCAGAGCAATGTTTTCAGAAATAAATTATGTGTCATGGACTACAAAGACAGTTGTGCAGCTTCAGAAATGTTTGTTTTGTACTACTGCTTCTGTCATCTGAACAGGCTGTGAACAGCAGATGATGAGATTATTTGTGAGAGCCATTTAGTTCTTTGTGCTGGTGTGTGTTGCCTTTTAAAGTGCTTCCTTTGGAGGGGAACAGCTCTACTTAGTTTCCAAGACTTTGAGCTTGATGACTGCTCTGTGTCTGTCCAAAGCTTTAAGTGTATTCTGTGGTGTATAGGGACAGTGAAAAGGAATTGAACAGGCTAACTGAATATTATCAGCCATGACATTGTGGTGATGCCTGAAGTATTTCTCTTTTAAAGTGTATAATTGCAAACATCTCTTTTGTTTAGAGGAAGGAGCTGCTCTCTAGTGGTGTTTGGCTTTTTGGGTAAATGCTACATAATGTAGTTAGGATGCTTTTGAATTATTACCCAATCCAGATAAAACAGACCTGGACATGACTCTGAAAGTAGTTTGTCTTATGTCATTTATGCCAAGCAGTGGTAGTAGTATTTGCTGCTTATAGCTTCAGAATACTTTTGTAGTATCCAGATGTATTAAATTTGTGTGTGTGTATGTTTTTGTGAAATGTAAGTAGACTCTGTTCCTTAGTCAGTGGGGATAATCATATTACTGGGATGTGCTCATATATCACAGAGAAGGTGCATATGCACTGACCTGGATTGGTAAAACTGGTTACCACATTTTAAAATAATTGTTTGTTTTTTTCACACCAGGAGCTCTTGTCGTTGGCCAAACGGAAACGCAGTGACTCTGAAGAAAAGGAGCCTCCGGTGAGCAAACCTACAGCATCTTCAGACTCTGAGACGTCAGACAGTGACGATGAGGTGAGTTTGTCATGTTATCAGTGAAATTACTGTGGGTTATTTGTCTGTTTGTACCTAAGCAGTGCCAGTGTATTTATCATACAGTATATTTAGCCTGCTGACTTCATAAAGCGGGACTGGCTGTCATTGGGACTGAGGGAGACCCATTAAGCCCAGAGGATGTGTACTCAGAAATACATTTTTTGTTTGTTTGTTTTAATTGATAGGCTCTGAATTGTAACTGTACACAAAATAGTCTGAATGTCTGTAGAAAATATGACTACCTGCTTAATCCCATGTTCATATGGGATCTGAATGGTCTGATGATCTGTCTGCTTAAAACTAGTGTTTTTCCTGTGTAATGCCTGTGGTTGGAGTGATAGTGAAGCTACTAAAGCTGAACTCTGAATTAAGAGTGAGAGATTTTTCAGCCTTAGAAGAGAGCTTCCTTCCTCAGAGAAGAAAATGGTGGTACAATTTTGCAGGTGGTAAAACTCTTCTATTTAGCTGCTTCGATTCTCCAGGACCTCTGCTGTGAACTAGTTTGTCTGGCCATTAGAACATGCAGTAGAGTGTGTTTTTATTAGCATTTTTGAAGTGAGGCAAGGAAGTGTTTAGTGTTACTTTGTTCTAGAGTTTTGTCAATTTGTTGTGTAGCAGTGCTTATCTGCTGGATCTGTTTTTATTACTTGTTCTCAGTACTACATTCTAGAACTGGTTAAAAGTCTCTGCTTTCATCTGTAAGTGAAAATTGAAATAGAATTATTACAACAGAGGAACTGACAAACAGGTCATGCAGGTATTTGAATAAAAACACTTTCTTGAAGGCTTACGAATGTCTTTTGCAAGCTTTCCACACAATATAGTGAGGTTGTTTATTCCATCTATTCTTAAAAATTTAACAGCCATGTGGGGTCGATTATTTTTCTGAAACTACAGGAAGGATTATTCATTTTGACAATTTAAAGACTAATAGGGTAGGCCAGTGATTAACCGTTAACCATTTGGTAGTGTAGCAGGGTTCTTCCAATAAGTGTAAAGAAAGTCTGGTTTCATTTTCTTAGGCATTTTTAAATAAATATGCCTGGAACTCTGTTTCGATCGATCCTTTTTTAAAAAAAGAAAAAAAAAAGACTCTTGTATCTAATACATGGTTAAGACACAAGGAGAGAGAAAACTCTGAATGAACTAGATATATTAGATTTGTTATTGGGTGACCACTCAGTCTGTCACAGTGTGTGTTCTGATCTGTTGGCACACAGCGTATTTACTTTAAGCTGTGTGGAGACCAGCTTGTCTGGAAAAGTAGATTTAGGTGCGGACAGCATGTCAATGACAAAGTCTTCTGATCTGTGTTTATCTCTGAAAACTGAGAGAATAAATAATATGCTTCAAATTATATTTTTTAGCTTGTGTAACTAACTACACCTAAGGTTTGCCTTTGTATTATGTGTGGAATATAAAATGTATTTCTTCACGAATTCGCACAGACCCTGCAGATACAGTAGTATCTCTGTGGCACTGTGTGCATTTGATACTCTTTCTGATCTGTGTATCATTTCTAATTGATATTCTGTTCTTTCTGACCTCCATGCAGCAAGAGGAAAAGATTTAGAGAAGAGGTAATTAGGACACTTGCTTCTATTCCTGTGCCTGAAATATGCATTCTGAACTGCTGCTTGTCACAGCAGGGTGAGACAGGCTGGGTTATAACAGTTCTGCTTCTGCCAGTCATCTAGCTGTGTGCATCCCTAGGCTTGACTACACTACTCCTGCTGAACAACTTTGGTTTTAATTAGTGTTCTTGTGGCTGGTTTGAAGTTTGCTCAACCTTGGGAGTTGGGAGAGGGGGTCTAAAAGTTGAAATCATCTTACTGGCCTTCCTGCAAGATGAGGACCTTGAGGCAAAGGCATGGAAATTGTTGCCCTGGGCAAATGTGCTTAATCACAGCCATGTGCTTCCACCAAGGTTTTGTATTGTGCACATATATTGTAGTTAGTTCCTGGCAAGCTCTAAACGTTCCAGGATTGTCACCGTGTTGCATGTACAGGAAAGGAGCCTAAATCTGTGCTTCAGAGGCTAATGCTGCATTGTGTTTTTTAAAGGGAGGAAAGTTTGTGGGGCATAGGGGAGAGAAAGTGCATTTTTAGAATTATAGAATAACATCCTGTACAAATCATGCCACATCTATACAGTGGTGTCCAAGGGATTTCAGTAGATCTTTAATGTTATATTTTGTGTGTCTTGGTGGGAATGCGCTTCTGTGAAAGCTCTTGGCCACACCAGGTGTTCATGGTGCAGATGCTGTGTTCTGTAACATTTTAAGGACCTGCGTGTACTGAATCAAATTACCTATCTAAGTGACTGAAGGTGAGTTGCAGGTGGTGAAGTAGAGGGGTGCTCTGAACCCTCTTCTGTTGGGTCTGTGGAACGTGCATGGCTGAAGTGACTCCGAACTTGTTCAGAGAACTGACGAATAGTGACTGCAGGGCTTTGCAATAGGAAGTACTGCCTTTGCAAAGAGATACACTTTGCTGGAAGCAGTTGTAGAGGCAGACAGTTCCTATATCTGTGGAGCAATGTGTGGCTGTGACTACTCAAGAACTCACCATCCCAAACTGTTAGCCTGCTG